GTCACATAACAATGTATGTATAAATTTTTGTATGAGAAACTAACTTGAATTGTAAACTTTCACTTAAACTACAACAACAATAATAATAATAAAAAAAAGAAGCTAACTAACCCTGTATCTAATTATGGTTAAGTGTCTCAAGGAATGCCTACTCCATGAGAAGTGAGCTAGGAGACCAGATGGTGGTAGTAGTCTCCAGATTCCAACAAAGTCCTTGCATCCTTTGCTGAAGGCATCAGAAGGCCTATAGCTGTGTTGGAGTCTCTGAGAGGCTTCCATAGAATAGAACATTATAGAAAATGACCTGCATGGCTGGAGATAAATTTGGTCACAGAGGTATCTGAGGCACTGTATTAGAGCTATGTAAACACCAAACCAATATAAACACTACAGACATGGTTTCTATATCCAAAAAAGGAGTTTCACATACATTTTAAATATTTTGCCAACTTACAATAGGATTTACTAAAGCATTTGGGAGATAATCAGTAACAGGACACATCTTGGGTAAAAGTACATGCTATTATGGGCTAAAAGGGTCTACAATTCTTTAAAGGAGTCTGTATACTTCATGGCACCAGATCAGTCTGAAATTATAAAATGAATTATACAGAACTATTGATTTTGAAATAATGAGTGAAGGAATTTCTCATGATGGTTACATGGAATTGGTGGTCAGATGTCAAACTTTATAGAGAATACATTTTTTTGGATCAAGTATTTTATTTACAAATAGAACGATATTTTTAAATTAACTTCCTTGTCTGTTTTAAATTTCATTCCTCTTGAGATTATTACTCAATAATTATTTTTACAGGCATGGTTCTATAATTATGGGCATCACCACCCTCTGTTTCATGCTACAGCTATCAAATAACATCATCTTAAAACAGACCCCCATAAATGCTCGTTAAATAACTGACAATGACAGAATCTTGGCATAAGTAAATCAATCATATAGCTAAAAAATGAGAGAACACAAAAAGACATAGAAGCAAAAATAGAATACCTTTAGGGCTTTATAAAGGCCAAACACTCCCTATTACAGAAATGCAGGGGATATTACAATTAGAATCCAAAAAAGAAATTGCTATAATAATCACAAAAGTTCACCAGATTTTGCCACAGCAATAGTTGTATTGCTTCTGCCCATTTTCCTTCTAGAAGAAACATCTTAACTATTAGCTAATAGCTTTCTATCTTCATGGCACATTGATATCAGGAGGACTATCATAGAGAAAACACCCAACCATGATTAATCTTAGAGGTTGGCACGGTGCTGCAGAAAGCAGAGGAATGAGGGAGTAACACTGAGGTTTTCACCAGGCTAACCCTATTAAAGCCTCCAAACTGCTGTTATTCATGACACATTTCTGGATCTATTCCACCCTAAGAACATGACAAAAAGACATTTCCTTGGATGTGTCTGTGTTTCTAAAATTGATGTAAAGCCAGGTGGAAGTTGTAGAGAGGAATTGAAAGGGGAACTGTAATTTACGGTGTCCCATGCTTTTGTAACTTAACAAAAAATTATGCACAGAGTATGGAAAAACGAGGTTTCATTGGCAAATTATATAGAAAGAAGAGCCATCCAGTTAAAAAATCATATCCTCATAAGGAAGAGAGAAAACTTGAAGTGACTTGCCTTTGTTACAGAGAATATATGAGTCATAAGTTATTGATAAAACTGACTGAAATATTTAAATAATCATCCATTTGATAGGAATGGCTCATGCTTATCATAAATTGAGATCAAAAAGAAATATACTAGTTTAGACACAATAATAAAAATAGGCCAATGGAAAATAGTTTTGTGATCATTTTTTGAGGAAAAAAAGGCAGTTTTACATGAAAAATAAAGCAATTAACCAAATTTTTGGTGACATAAGAGATAGCTCCATCCATACCCAATCCCCAAATATAGCTCAGCCATGCGTATTTTGACCTTAATAGGCAAAATAAAAACAAATGCTAAATGTACTGTAATACAGCATGAGGTATCATCAATTTGTATGTGCTTAGTGACGGTGAAAATTCAGAGTGACCATAGAGTTGATCCATCATTATTCTGAAATTGTTGATCTACAAAGTAAAATACTTGCTTTTCTAAAATTGATTTAAAGTCACAGGTGTGGGTGGGTGAGAGGAAAGGAGTGTGGTTTATGTTTCCAATGCCCTTATAAATTAAAAGGAAACACATAATTAATAGTCATGTTCTGTTTCAAGGGATACCAGAATATTTTTCTAAAACAAAAATGGCTAAGGCTAGTTTTTGAAAGAAATGTTTAATCAACAGCAATCCTTAATTTCTCCTTGGGGCTATTTATCAACATTTGCTGAGAAAAAAATGAAACGTGATGCTGAATACTGAACCAATTTCTAAAAGTTTGTTTGAAATTAAAACCTCTGGTGATTCTCTTAATCCCAACTGATAATGTCGCCTTCTAATTGGCTTGAGTAAAATTTGGCTGAACAATTCTCTCAGACATCTGTAACAGATACATTTCATTTCAGCTGCTCAAATGCCATGTTCACATCTTTGCATTTTTTCTGCCAGGTCGTTTCTTTGTACTTTGTCATTCACTGTTGTGTTCTTGTCTACCTGCTATTTATTAAGAATAGAAAAATGGCATCATTACACAATCCCCTACATTTTAGCAGAACTCTGACATTCATCCTCTCATAACCTTATCAGTAATTTAGTTATTCGAGTACAGCTTATTGGGTGTAATGCCAGTCTTAGGAACCATATAGACCTCTTCATTGTTTATCCATTTTTAGCTGATATATTTTTCCCCAATGGAAACCTAATGGTATTAATAGAAGGATACCCAATCATAAAAAAAAAAAAAAAAAAAAAAAATCATCTTTCCATGTTCTCTTTTTAGTATCCTCTTCCTCTCCTCAATATGACAAGGTAAATTTTGCTGATTTAAAAAAACTCATTAATATTTCCTCTTGAACACTATCTTATATACTCATCTTTATAAGCAAAACAAATTAAGCATCCATGATGGTGAGATCTCATTAGGAAATCTTTGATCTTGTCTGGAGAGGCCTCAGGGAAAGCTACTTAATTCTTTTGCACACTGTTGACTATTGTGGTTTCTTAAAATAGATTTTCTGGCTGACAAAGAAAGACATGTCATTGTGCATGGTCTACTCAACAACAATTTTGTGGCTGGTCACCATTTGTGGAAGTAAAATTTGGGTGGGGCTCTTGATTATCAGTTCACTTGTAGAGTCTAACAGGCACATTTTTTCTCTGCTGACTTCTCCCCATCTAGCTTTCCCGAGTTTCCTCCGTTGGCGGTGCCGGGGACTTGTGTCTTCTCTACACACTGTTCCATTCGCTTCATTATTAAGTCCAGAAGGGTCTCCACAGCTTTCTCCACATTCTGTCCAGTCGCTGCACTTGTTTCAAAGTAGGGTATGCTAGCATAGAAAAGATGATAGGTATTTTTGAGAGGAAGAAATCAGAAAAAGATACAATCAGATGTACAAATGAGTCACATATGCAAAAACATGGTTGGCTAAGAGACTGGGAGATCATCATGGTTTTGCTGGCTAAGTTGGAAAGCATCCTTGTTTTTGCTCCATGACTAAAAACTGGTAGGCTGCTCTTTAGTATGGGTATGACTGTTTTATGGGCAAGGCAGCTGAGACAGGAGGTACTCAGGAATTTGAAGCCCATGTATTATCACTGTTTACAAAATTTAAGAGGTGAAACATGCCTAAACTAATAATTAATATTACCATTAAAATGTTACATCCTTCCAATCAACTATCTAGAAATCTAATTTTTAGAAATTAAGCATGCACTGAATAGGCTATTCATGCGAATATAGTCTATATGTATTTGGAAGTAATAAGCCCAAGGAGACATATAAACGTTTGAAGCTCTCAAGGAGAATTTTTCAGTAAAAAATTGGCAGATGTGATGAAACGACTTTAAATTTAGAAAATAATGACAAATTCTACTTTGGAAGTTCATTTACAAATGAACTTACATTGATTAAAGGTTCCTAAGAAAATTTTTTAAGAAGAAAAATCTCAAATTATGTTTACTGCTTGCAAATCTTAACTGTTCATTAGCAGTTTTTAGTGACTGAAATCTCACTATACCCCTAGCGAGAGCCAGTGCAACCTGGAGAGGCTCTCTAGCCACAGTTTTTTGAGCTTTCTAACTGTTGCGAATGCTGTGTGTGTTGTTAGTAGGATACAGTCTGAAAAGAAGGAAAACTTGTGATGGCATTGGGGTGGGAGGGTGAGGGTAGGACAGCTGAGAAAGAGAAAAGGAACTTGGCTCAGCTGTGCTTGGCAAGATGGGGTAAAGCAATGTTCTCGGGACTTCTTCCATGTCTGGCCTTCTTATTACTCAGTATGGACCAGGGATCACTACCCCATTCTGTTAATTTCTTCTTTAAACTTTTCTATATTTTTCTAAATTCTTCAAAACAGAAATGTGATATTAAAACACAGACTCATATATACATGTGCTAAGGATAGGGTGGCCAAATTTAGCAAATAAAAATACAAGCTACCCAGTTAAATTTGAATTTCAGATAAACAATGGATACTATTTTAGTATAAGTATGTCTCAAATATTGCATGAGATGTTTATTTTTTGTTTTGTTTTTAGCTGTTATTCAATCACAGCTAGGATAAGGACTGCAATATCATGTCCATGTCAGGTATTCATCCTTGGAGTCTCGCAGTGGAGTACAGTGTTTCAGAGAACAAATTCTGACCCCAGACTGCCTGGTTGAACTAAAGGTCCATTACTTAGGAGTTGTGTGGCCTTCCATTAGTTACTTAATCTCTCTGTGACTCAGTTATTCATAAGTAAAATGGAATAACTCTAGTATCTCCTGCATATAATTATTAACCCAGTGCTGTAGAGTCTATTCCAATCCATGGCAACCCTATAGGACAGAGTAGAACTGCCCCATACGGTTTCCAAGCAGCGCTGGTAGAATCAAACTGCCAACCTTTTGGTTAGCAGTCCTATCTTAACCACTGCACTATCAGGGTGCCACCAGTTAAATGAGTAGTCTTAGAACATTTCCTAGCACCTAGCAATAATTCAGTAAGTGTTAGCTGCTATTATTAATTCAGTAAAAATATCATATATATTCTTCAGGAAGATCTTTTTAATTCATGTACCATTCTTGATTCAAAGAGATTCCTCCTAGTATCAATGTCAGATTTCTGTTCCTTCACTTAATCAGCAGTTTGCAAGGTCAGATGACATCTCGATGTAACCAACCTACCCGTATTTGTCTGCCAGGTCTCGGGCTTGCCGTTCGTTGACTTCCCTCTGGTCTGGCAGGTCTGCCTTGTTGCCAATTAATACTATATCTGGATTTTCACAATAAGCATTTGCTTGCAGTTGGCCTTGGAAAGAAAGCAGATGGAACCAGCATGTTAGTTATAAACAAGCGATGTCAAACGACTGCTCATACTCCAGATTCCTCATCTAATTATTCATCTCCAGTTTGGCTGCTTACTAGTTATGTTAAATTAGCCCAGTTACTTAACTTTTGTCAGCCTCAGTTTCCTCATCTGTAAAATGGAGATAATGACTCACAAACTGCATATTACGATGATTAGAAATAATATATAGATGAAGCACCTATCATCTATCAGTGCTCTTCTACATCTGGAAAATGCCTTTTGAGAAGGACATACTGCTTCAGACCATTTGTTCCTCAGATATAAGTGGAGATAACAGAATATGATTTTGAAGTGCGGAAGTCTGCTGTCTCTTTTAGAAGAATGGTACATTTCCCTCTCCCAAAGTCAAGTGATAATTTAAAGGAACAGAACATTTTAAACTGCCACAAATTCATGGAGAAACAATTTTAATATGGGTAATTTGTTTTTTTCTTTTCTTCAGGAAACATTGTTCAAAAGGAGGAAAGAAAGAAAGAGAGAGAGAGAAAGGAAAGAGGAAAACAAGAATGAGAAAGAAAGCAGAGAAAGGAAAAGAAAAGAAACCTATCAAGCTGTGCTTCTGAGATTACAGAGGCTACTTCACTGTCTATCTTAAGGCACATTGTGTGCTATCTTGGTAGGTGCAGAGGAAGAAGCCAAAGGCTTATCCTGTAACACTGATGATTTGAGTGTTAGAAATGAAAACATTATTAGGCATGACAATTAATTATCTTAAATCCCATCAATATCCTTCTGGAGATTCTTAAAAAACAAGAGAGAGTCTCGTCTTCCTTGAAAAAGGATAAATGAATCATTCTCTGAAAAGTCCTAATCCTTCAGAATCTAATAATACCACCAAAATTTTGATAAGGAAATGCAATAACAAAGAGAAATAGAGACAGATCCTAGGATAAACATTCATTTGAAGAAGCGGTTAAGAAGGTCAGAATTTGTTAATTTTCCCCCATTGGTAGCAATTGTGCTACTGAACTCACATTGAAAGCAGTTTTATATATGTGTGTGTGTGTTTATAGATATACATGTATATATAGAAAATAATCTAAAAAACCAAAAAAACTCATTGCCATTGAGTCCATTCCGACTCATAGCAACACTTTAGGACAGAGTAGAACTGCCCCATAGCGTTTCCAAGTCTGTAAATCTTTACAGAAGCAATAATCTAAAATAATAAATATGTTAACATATTAATAAAAAATAGTATTTTGTTTTAGCATCTACTCTGCACTAGGCACCCTTCCAGCCTCTGGGGTATCGTGATGGAACAAAATAGATAGTCTGTGCTCTCTCTCATAACGCTCACATACTAGTGGTGGAAGAGTTACAACACAAGTAAACAAAGAAATATGTAATGTAATATCAGGTAGTGGCAAGTGTCCATTCATTGAGGGGATAGACAGTGATGAGAATGCCAGTAACGGAGATGGGTGGTCAGGGACGCATCTCTGAAGAGAGAAGTTTTGATCAAACACCTGAAGGAAATGAAGGAACTAGCACACAACTGTAAATGGGAGAAGAGAAATCAAGGCTGAGGGAGGGGAAGCGCCAAGGCCTCACAGCAGGAAGGTGCTCTTGGTCCGAGGAACAGCATGAGAGCATGTGGGGCTGGAGTCCAGTAAGCCAGGCAGAGTGAGGGAAGTAGATTGGAGAGGATGCCCAGGGCCTGATCCCATAGGGCCTTGATGCTGGGGGAAGCATTCTGGATTTTATTCCCAGTGAGGTGAGAAATCACAGAAGGATTTTGAGCAGGGGAATAACATGATCCAAATTAAAAAAAGAAAAAAAAAAAAATCGTGTCTGGCCATAGACTGCCCAGCAAATCTGGAAATGACCAGAGTAGCACCAGCTCTGTAGAACAAGTCATCTGTCCTATTGCGTGTCTATCCCATTAGGATCAAAATTCTTATTTGTAATAAAAAAAAGCAAATGAAATATTATCTTTAGTGCTACGTAAAGTAAAAAAAAAAAAAGGAAAAAATTATACTACTACTCTTCTGGGTGTTGGTTTAATTGGCTTTAATAATTCATTAGGCAAATTTTAAATTCCATATCATGTCTAAATTCCTATGGAGGCTGAGGATTATTTCACACAAGGTCTCCTCATATTTGAACATTTTTTAAAACTAAAACTCTAATCTAAGATGACTGACTGGCACACTATACCTAATCTTCATGCCAGCTTTTGCTCTGGAGGAGTTTATTAACTAACAATTAATTATTACTAGTTCATTAACTACTAATTAATGCCTAATTAACCCATTAGTTCTTACACATATTTCAGGTTAAATTGTTCCTGTCAGGAAAGACTGTTTTCTCTGTGCCTTCTCCAGGCAGACGCGGTGGATGTTGTATCCTGATTGGTCAGAAGGCGTCCTTCAAGACTTACTAGACAAGTAGAATTAATGACCTTTCAATCATAATAACAAAGACCTTAAATATAGGTGGTGGTTAACCCTTCTTAAAATGGTATCAAAGGAAAATACAATTCCAAGCCACCTTGGGCGATCCAGAAAAAGGCTACCACTTTGAAGGCAATAAAGGAAACACTACACTCATGACTGTGGTGTTTAGTCTGGCCACAGCTTGTAAGGTAAACAAATATAGCTGTTGGGTTCCAGTGCGTGTTTGTAGCTCTTGAGCCCTACAGTGGCCAACCTAAGTCACTCAGTCCCACTTACTCATCCAGTTTCTGACATTTAAGAAGCTCTGTTGACTGGTGAGGTCAAACATTAATAAGAAGCCCATGGCATCTCTGAAAAACGCGGTGGTGAGGCTCCGAAACCTGCCAAGAAAGCACAGTGAGTAGTTCTGCAAGTTAGTCCACAGGCTTATGATGCAATGCAAACAAGTGTTTCCTTTTCAGATACAAAGTTTCCATGGCTGACTGTCATGGGTTATTCTAGGGAACAGGGAGAGCAGGCCCAAAGCCTGCTGAAAGGCCAGGAGTGGAGATGTGGTTGTAGTTTTTTTTTTGGTTTATTTGTTTTAAGACCACTTCCTGACTATGTGGTCCCATAGCACTTAAACACACAGAGTTGTAACATTCAATCACAAACTTACACAACATATAGGTCTAGATCTTTCTTGTCCTTGACACTGTGTGTCCAATTATTTTTAGGTATTTCCTTAGAGGAAACACAGGCACCTCCAACTTCACACGTCCAGAACCACACCGGTCCCTCCTCCTCATTTCTCCTTCTATCAGTGGCATCATCATTCTCCTGTTTGCCACGGTCTCTTCATCCACGATATACAAATAATCAACAAATATCTCTCGACCTGCTCGTTTAAGACCATCCACCCTACCGCTACTCTAGTTCCCAAAGCCATTATCTCCCACCTAGATAACTCCCCCAATCTTATAAATAGGCCTCCTGTCTCCCTCTGATTTCTTCCCATTGGTTATATCAATCCTCTGCTAATAGCATTTTAATGATTATAGGTTGCTCTTCAGGTAATGCCCAAGTTTTTTAACAGACTGTCAATGCTTCACATGAGCTGATCCTTGGTCATCTATCCAGCTTCATCTCTTGATTACCCACAGGCATGCTGATCTTCTTTTAGTTCTTAGGAAGTTCTTTCTCTCCTCTGGGGCTTTCACATGTGCTGTTCTTTCTGTTATCTCCCTGCTGAAAACCTCACCTCGCCTCTTATCTGCTTGGATAACACTCATTTAAACATCCTTTATGAGTACATACAAAATGGCATGAGAGGAAGTATCACTCCCAAAGCAGCCTTCCCAACACCCAAGTCTAGGTTATGGGCTCCTCCTGGTGGGCCTGCCTATCACCTTTTGTTTCCCTATCAGTATCCTAAAGTTACATTGCCATTGCTAGTTATTTGTCCAAATTCCACACTAGACTGTAAGCTCCAAGGGAAAAGCAGCTGTGTTTCCAACATATTCTACGTTATATATTTTCATGGCCCAGAGCATAGTAGCTGCTTACTAAATATTTGTGACATTAAACAGCGTGAAAGAAAGTGAGAAAGAAAGAGAACAGCAAAGGAGATGAAACTATCGAAGATTTAAAATGACTTCTGTAGAGAAGGATGCTTTTAATACCAAAGCAGAGAGAAGAGAAGTTTTAACTGCCATTTAGTTCCAAATTAGGATTTCTTTTGTAGGGCATTGTCATGATCTAAAAATGTACAGTAGAGATATCAAACAAATTTACTCGTTTTTTTCTTGTGGATTTGTTCCTACCATTTGCTGGAAGCTCGTAGAGATTATAGTGCTTTTACTGAAATTTTCTTTCTCCTCGGGGACTAGCTGAACTCATAAAGCTGTCTCTTACTCAACCATAATGGTGTTGTGGCCAAGAAAACTTCTCTATGTTCTCTCCCAAGTGTATGTGTGTATCTCATTTGAGGACAAAACCATGTCTTATTCCCTTTTTCATTGTCCATGGCACATGACAGAATTACTCAAAACATGCTTGTATTGATCTTATTGGGGCAAACAGTCTTCAACTCTTTTGCATCTTTAGCGATATGGATAGTACACATTCACACTGGACCAGGTTCACCTCCTGGACCATTCTGCCCAGTATCTTTATTATCCCACAATTTTCTCAGAGTTTCTTCCAAGGAGAAAGATAATTGATTTCTGGCTTCATCCACTGAGCTCATTCTGTCCAGTGAACTGGTAGGGTGGGAAAGCCAGAACCACATAAAGAAACAAATTCCAGAGTTATATGATCACTCTTTCTCTCTCCTGGGGACTGAGGCTGTGCCGTGTATCCTTTAGGTTTACACAAGGGGTATGGTTTTTCCTTGCCTCCCATGATGTCACTCTTATCAATATCTATTATCTTATATGGATTGGAGTGCCAGATGTCCTCAGACACCGGGTTGAGGTGTGAAAGACATTGTTTGTCTTATTGCTTAGCTACACCTTATATATACAGAACGAAAAATTCTCAAGGGATGAATAGCCCAAGTATTACTAAGAATGTCCCTAGTATTCCCCATTTCCCTCATCGAGCAGCTGTCTTAAGGGGACAGATGAAAGAAGCCTGCCATCAGGCTAGGCTGACATATCAGGCGTCAGGACATATGGGAACCACATTTTCTCATATTACTTCTTCAAAAATGAGTTAAATTGGTCTATAAAACATACATCTTTGTGACAACAAAACTGACATGTGAGCAGAGACTCTTGTGAGGAATGACTTGGGAGGAACCAGCAGTGTTGAAGGGTGTGTGTAAATGGAATTCACAGTCAGAAAAGATAACAGAGAGGCCCAGCACCTCTCCTGGCATTTATACTCACTGAAAGTGAGAACATTTTGGATGCATTTAAAAAACTGAAGTGTTTACAAGCATAAACACACTAAGATATGTGATGTAGAATTTGGAGGTATGAGCCTTCTAAATATGTTCTATGCCGACCTACTGCCAAGTTTTATTTAATCTAATACTGAAAACCTTCATTAGCTTCGGGTCTTTAATACTTCAAAACCTTGGATCCCAAAGAAATATATTTTCATCAATAATGGAATAGCATCCCCAGTCCTAGGCAATCACTACTATTGTTTGCCGTTGTTGTTGTGTGCTTCGATTTGATTCCTACTCATAGTAACCTTATAGGACTGCGTAGAACTGCCACATAGGGTTTCCTCGGCTGTAATCTTTATGGGAGCAGATCACCGGGTCTTTTCTTCTGAGGAGCTGCTGGTGGGTTCAAACCACTGACCTTTCGGTTAGCAGCCAAGCACTTAACCATTGTACCACTAGGGCTCTTTTACTGTTATCTACTGAGTATCCGTTCTTGGGCATTATAACAGAAACAATACTGAAAACCAGGCAAGATCTCTGCTCTTATGAAGACAATTTAGTTGGGGTGACAAGGTCACTAGGTGAACCATTACACAACTGTTAGAGACAAAAACAGAAGATACGCTTATCACAAGGTGGTATTTAACTAATTTAGTAACTAAAGGGATGATAGAATCAGTGTTGTAGGAATTCAGAAGAAAGAAGGAGTTAGTTTCAGCTGGGGTATTCAGGAAGTCTTCATAGAGGAAGTGGAATGTGAGGTGGGCCTGGTGGAAGAGGATCAGGGAAATGGAAAGTGGATGAATCATTCTAGCTGGAGGAAAATGGTGCGATCAGAGACTGAGAGGGCAAAGCCAGTCAGCTGACATACACTGGAAAGTGTGTGGAAGACCAAGAGATAAGATGACAAAGGTTTTAACACCCTTTCCTTCAACTCTCTATTAAAGCAGCGCTTATAACCCATTGCCGTGGAGTCACTTCCAACTCCTAGTAGTGTTAATTTCCCATCTTCATTCAGTTAAATACTGGAGAACTTTCTCCTTCTAGAAAAGTGAAAAGGCAATGCGTAATAAGAATCTTCATAGAGATTTTTGAAATCTGAGGCCAAATATACAATGCTAGTTATAGTTGTTTAACTAAAAATAATTTATATTTATTTCTCAATACAAACGTCTACCTCAAAACCGGAGAAAAGCTGCACGTTACTTATTTTTTTTTCAGATTCACATTGTCGTTGTTGTTCGCTGCCCTCAAGTTCCCCCAACTCCTGGTCACCCCATGCACTACAGAACAAACAGTGCACCATCTCCATGATTGATTATTGATCTGACAGTTGTGATCCAAAACGTTTTCACTCTCTGATTTTTGGAAGTAGGTCACCAGACCTTTCTTCTTGGTCTGTCTGAGTCTGGAAGCTCCACTGAAATCATTCAGCATTATAGTAACATGCAAACCTCTACTGACGGCCAGGTGGTAGCTGTGCAGGAGGTACATTGTCCCAGGTCTCCCACATGGAAGACAAGAATTCTACCACTGAATCACCAATGCCCCCAAGTTCACATACAGCGTTGGTTTTAAAATAATGTTTTCTAGCATTTGCATATAGCTGGAAACAAAGTAATTTACTATTACCGTTCTTGTCCTGCAGTGTCCCAAAGCTGAAGATGCACCTTAAATGCTTTCCCTGAAGATCCATCTGGTCCTTGCGAGTTATAAACCTGAAATAGACAATTTGCATCAGCTGATACTGCCTTGGATTTTGTCAACATTCAAATTCTCTGGGTTCACTCAGCATGTTTTTTCTCGATTACTATAATCAAAGTTCATAGTGCAGAATAAATATTTGCTCTGCTTTTGCAGAAGTATCACATATACTCTCACTTTGAAATGTCAAGTACAAATACGATTTTCAGCACAATTTAGGCATACTGCAAACTTAAATTAGACACCTTCTGTCATTTCCTCCTGGAGGCAGCAAACATTAGATGTAGGACCCAAGTTCTAAGTTCACATACCAACTCTTCATTTAACCTGTTGGATTTGTACTATCTTACCTGTAAATTGAGACCCATAATCCCTTCTTACTTCACAGAGTTGCTGCAGACCTCAGTGAAATAATAAATGTCAAAGCCCGTCTTTAAAGGTAAAGTGCTTTACAAATACCTGGAAATCCTTTACTAAGAGATGGATTTTTTTCAAGGACTTATCCATGAAATATGCACAGAATTTCTCAATAAGTTGGCACAGGGCATTTCAAACCTTCCTTTACTAGCCATTTCTTCATAAGCTCCTTTTAGAAACATTTAAAGTTTAACAATAACAGATTTTCTACTTTTTAATTTAAGCAAAACATAACAATTTTAATGTTCAATCAGCTCTCCCAAAATATGGTTTAGTTGAAATGTTTCAAAGGAAGAAGTTTGCAAGGACTTATATATACTCAGGTCAGCAGTGGTGTGGCGGAGGTAGAGTGAGGAGAGAATAATAGGAGGTGGGAAAACTCCAGGAAGGGTTGAAAGCAAGTTTGCTAAGATTACACTACAATGTATTGACTTTCAGATAAGGTACAGGATATTACAAGGAATGATAACTTCTCAGGCGATGGCCTTCCAACCACCATTTCTTTTGTTTTCTTCCCAATTCTCAAGGAATGAGTGGCTTTGTGACATCAACTGGGAGCCAGAGCCATCTTGGCAATCAAGGATACCTTGGGTGGCAGTAAATCTGGCTAAGCTTATGTGCCTATGCTGCATGTCTCACATGTCACAATTATCCTTATTCCTGTCATTAGCGTCTAGCGTGGGAGAAGGAAGTGGTTGTGATTCTCACTTAAAGCCCCTTATCTTGGAAAGTAGCATGGATTGGTCTCACATTCTGTTCATAATAAACCAGTGATTGATAGCTGAGTCTACACATAAATAAAAATGCAGCAGGAAATCATAAAGCTCATGTTCCAGCCATTTGCCAATCATATTTTCAACCTCTTTCTCAAGAGCAGGGAAATAAACACTTGCTCTTATTGAGGAATCTAACTCAGATCAAAGAGTTAATGCGCTTGATTTCTGAATAATTAAAGTCAAGTTTTAAAAGATTCCTTTAGAATTCATAGAAAACACACTATACAAATCCATAAGTTTTTTTAGTTGCCCCATATACTTTTGCAGTGAAAAAATAGTGCCACTCAATATTTTTCTAAGTAAGATGGTATTTATAGTTGATAAAGTAATAAATAATATTCTAAAGTAAATTAAAGTGACAGATTATGAAGTTCATCTAATCAAAGAGAGACATCTGGCAAAGAAAAGGCATAGCTTCTTTTCTAAATAATTTATTTTATTTTTGTTGTTGTTGTTGATAACATACACAGCAAAACATACACCAGTTCAACAGTTTCTACATGTAAAATTCACTGACATTGATTACATTCTCCGAGTTGTGCAACCACTCTCACCCTCCTTTTCTGAGTTGTTCCTCCTGCATTAACATATACTCACTGCCCCCTAAGCTTCCTATCTGATCTTTTGAGTTGCTGTTGTCAGTTTGATCGCGTATAGATAGATCTTAGAAGAGCATTATGTTCGAGGGAAGCATAGCTTCTTAATTCTTATTTTATATGGGGGACTCAGCAACAAGGTTAACATTAGAGTTAAAAACTCACCACGCGTTTTTCCCGAAAGTCTATTCCGACTGTTGTGATGAATTTGGGATTGAATTTATTGTCCGTGTATCTATAAAGAAATGTCGTCTTCCCCACCCCTGAGTCTCCGAGGGCCAGGAGTTTGATCAGGTAATCATAGTCCCCATCGGTCATAGTGATGGTCTTGGTGGGCCTGCATAGGAGAGGAAAAACAAGTATGTTATGATTAAAGTTAGTTTTCCTTTGTCTCGTATCAAAACACAAATCAGGTTTTCAAGGTTAAAAAATCCAACGCCTGTATGCTGCTAGATTCTGAATTAACTTGTTCAGAGCAGCTTTAGGAGTGAGGGTACATTTTTTATTTCACTCAGTACAAATATTTTGACATCACGTCAGTTAATATGGAACAAAACGTTATACTCAAAACAGCCATTGTCATAGCAATAGGAGACCTTAAGTAAAAAATCCTTTTTTTTTTTTAACCAGTGCCTTTTGGGGTCAGAAGTATGATGCTATAAGGAGGAGAGTTACAGAAAACAGACAAATCAGTCCAAGGTAATGCAGGTATGTAAGAGGCAGACTGATGTTACACATGGTTAGTAGAAAAGGAAAGTCTAAGGGAATATTTTGCATCTACCTACGCAGAGCAAGCTTTCTATCATGTACTTGCAAAATATTCCTTATTTAATTAAAAAAATTTAACAACTTCTATGATAAACTTTAAAAGCATTAATTTGAAATCAAAGTTGAAAAACTTTTTATTCTGAAACACTGAATCCTCTACTTATCCAGTGGCAAATCTGCTGTATTGACTGCATGGTAGCACATTTTCCAGGTCTTGCAAGAGGGGAAGAGCAGTTAAGAGGCATAGTTATACTAACTCTGCTAGTATTTTTCCTGACTGAAGGAACAGTGCACTTTTTGTCATTTCTTCCAGTGCCCTGGCCGTCCCTGGCTTAGCTTTGTGTACTCAGTTGTTGCAAGGAATGTAGGTGAGGATAAGCCTGGCACTCTGCACTGATTATACCAAGACTACCATGATGTGCATTTGAATATCCCACCAACTACTGAATACTTGGTTAAATTTCCACTCTTGAGTTGAGCCGAATGATTTTCTATTTGGTACAACTTTCTGATTCATAGGTTATAGAAGTGGGTTTGTCATATCCTATGTAGACAAAGGCCTGTGAAGAGTTTTCTAGAACAGAACAATTACTTTCCTTGTTATGTGAGAGAGAGGAATATTTCTCCCACCTCTGTAAAATCCAGAATACTTTGTTGTACTCTTCCAGAGCCCTGGAGTAATTAAAATTAAGTTTCAGTAATAGGTTATTCCATGGACATATCTAAAAATCATTAGATATTTCTAATCATTTTCTAAATGTAACAAAATGATGTACATGGTGTATATGTACATCAATTTAAAACAAAACTTTACTATTTTATATTGTCATTTTAATTAGTGGTCAAAACAAAAAGGTTTCATGTCTTTGGGTAAGTAACGATAAAGATGATTACAGTGCAATGGGTTTCTTTTCATATTTGCAATGGGTTTCTTTTCATATATGGCCTTTCTGGCTTTGGGTTTATAATGCTGCCAAAGATAACTTGTTGGGTCACAGCCTGCCCTGTGATTGGTCTATTTTATGCACTTTACAGGGATTGGTCAGTATACTATTCAAATTAACTGACTGTGGCCTACTGAGGGGATTGGTTGGTCTGCTATGCAAATAGGGTTCGTAAAACACGCAATAGGACTGAGTGACTTGTTTATATAAGCAGCCAACCTGACAGAGGTTTTGAAAGAGAGACACCAAGAAAGAGAGAAGAAGAAACTGTAATACTGAAGATGGTGAGTGACAGCCTGAGGCAGCATGAGTGGCAGTGGTATGAGCGGCAGGAACCAGGAGACTGGAGCGAGGTGACTGTGGTGGGCTTGCCAGCCCATGAAGTGAGAGAGAGCTGAAAACCTTCAGGCAGGGGGCTTGCTGACAGAGCAGGGTGCCTCTGGGCACTTGTCAAC